CACACTCACTGATGCACCCAGCAGCCCCAGCCCAGCTCTTCAGGCAGCCCTGCTCCTCCTCTGTCCAGCTTCCCAGGGTGTCACTTGGTTGATCCCCTACCTGAGCCCTTGTGATCCTGCTGGGCTGGGGCAGCCTCCCTCAGTGAGTCACACCCCAAACTCCCATCCCAGCCAGGCACCGGTGCAGGGCTCAGGGAAACTGAGGCACACACATGGTGTTCCAACAGCACAGCACCGGACAATAGAAGTCCCATCCAACACAGCCCACGGACAGAGAGAGCACGATCCTCACTGCGTCACAGCCCCGTGGAGGGAAAGGTCCCGTGTCCCATTCCCTGTTGTCTGCACGCTAGCTCAGGGTCTCTCCCCAGCACTGGGCGGTGCCACTGGGCCCATCCCAGCCGCCTGCTCTGCGGCTCATGGAGCACGAGGGGCAGGGCAGGGACCATGACCCACCCAGGGCAAAGGAGCTGCCCCAGGCCGCCAGCTTGGGAGGGGAGAACTCCCTGGAGCTCTCCAGGGCTGGAGTGGGTGGGGGATCAGAGCGGGAACTTGCACTGGGGCGCATGGGGAGAGAAGGGCCCCGGGGGGATGCTGGCCGGTACCGTTCTGGGCCCGCGTGTAGTTGGATCTCTTGATCATGATGTCCAGGTTGTATTTGTCTGTCGCGATGTTTTGCAGGCCGCCCTGCGCCTCAAAGCTGGCGAACTTGGTGAATTCAGGCAGGCGCCAGACGGTCTCCGTCCTGGCCAGGTCCACGTGCAGGATCTCGTCCTGGTCGAACTCAGCCATGAACTCCCCAGACTCCTGCTGGGGCTGGTCCGTGCGCTGGTAGAACTCCCTGGCGAACTTGGTGAATTCAGGCAGGCGCCAGACGGTCTCCGTCCTGGCCAGGTCCACGTGCAGGATCTCGTCCTGGTCGAACTCAGCCATGAACTCCCCAGACTCCTGCTGGGGCTGGTCCGTGCGCTGGTAGAACTCCACCTGGGAGGTCACATGTTCCACTGTGGGGAGACAGGAGTCAGCACCAGCCC